ACACACACACACACACACAAACCATGACTTACAGATCCCTTACAGATGTATTCCTACATAATCTATCTCAGGTTGCCGCGGTGGCAGCTCCACCAATTTCGAAAGCGTGCCAGTCCGCCCAACTAGCGAAAAGGCCTGCGATGCTGATGCTCCCCTCTTACGGCAACCTGCATTCCTTAACACCAGGCCTCAAAACATCGATAAATGCAGGAAGCCCGTCTGCCCGCTTCTGGCGTCTCCTTTCATGGAAGCCAAGAACACGAGAAAATCAAGCAAAAAGACCATGACATTGCATCTCCAATCCCCTTGCCTGCCTCCCTTGCTTGGCTTGTGAATCCCACCATCCACGTAGACGACGCAATGAGGCCCACAAGCGCTACCACAACACTGACGGCGAGGGCAAATCCAATGCCTGGTGATGCCAAACCGCCAACAGGATCTGAGGCGTGGATGTCCGACACTCGGAGGACGCTCAAGTCGGGGACGAGCCGTTGGACCAAAGACGTGTTCATCAGCATGGGCACATCCGTCGGCTCGCACGCCTGCTGCCATGTGTGAAACGCGAACACATTGTGCCAGTTGCTGACCTGACCCTGCCTTTGGCAAACAGAGGCCAACAGCCATCTGGACGGAATGCACGACCCGGGTTGGCAATGCGCCCAGCATCTCCACCAACATATAATGCGCACCCGGCAAGCCAGAGCACATCAGGAATTTGCCTGCGCTGGCACAAGTGCATCCAACAAAACTCTTAGGCACTGCAAAGACGCACATGCGGTTCACAGTTCACACAAATTTGTAACAGTCATTGTGGGAGAATTATGCGCAACAATGATAAATGAAAAGGGCAGCGTGAATGGGACAAAATCAACGTCATCCAAACTCCAAACCAGCACGCGTGGGAGCTTGAAAAATTCAAGATAAACATGCCGCCCACCAATGAAATGTAGACAGTGAAGTTAATGGTACTTGCGCAAGCTTCTGAAAAGGCTGTCAACGGAGACGGTTAAAACATGCTTGGACAATTGTGTCCATGAGCATCAATAAGGGGATCAGCAACATTACAAAAACAAAAAAAAAAACATTGCAAGACCAAGTGAAAATGCCACAGCCTGTGCAGGACAGATGTCCCACAACATCGCACACGTGTGTCACCACCTCGCCTTTTGCTCATGAAACCATGCTTGTACCTCGCCTTGCTTTCTTGCTACCATGCGATTGAACGAGGATCTCTCTCTCCATTCTGAACCACCACATGTAGGTAACTAACACATCAAATGTGTTACGGCGTGGTGCTTTTGCCTCTTCAAATTTGATTCGTGATGATCACACGGATCATTTGCCCTTGCACGCACAGACATGCCGCTCCGCCAACCTGCATCCCTGGGCAAAGATTTCCCTGTCGACATGCTGAGCTGTGCAAGCTGGCCCGGGAGCAACGCAGCCACGGCTGCAGGACAACCTGAAAAAATTCAACCCAGAATGGTGTTCTGCGCCAAAATTTGTGTAACAAGCTTGTTCCATGTCAGCAACCTAACAACATTCCGGGTTCGCAGTTGTTCTTGCAGCTTGGGCACTGCTTTCCATTTCTGCAAGGGACATTATGGGCTGCACTTTGTGGCTGCCAACATCCAGCGCAGTTCGCTGGGATGAACAGGCCTTGAGGCTCGCGGCTGCGACAACCATGTGTTCGAGTATTTGGCTTATGCTTCGGGACGACGATTGATGCCGCTGGCTACGTGTTGCCCTTATTAGCTTACGCCTGTGTACGACATGGCTGAACGCTCTTGACTAGGATTGCTGCAAGAATGTTATCATTGGGGGATAAAGAATTGGTGTAGAATCCCGAGGGATGATGATGGGTTCATGGTTGTCGTTTTTGCAATGCATTACTTTAAACTCGGTTCTCAACATCGTCATTGTATTCAGCGTGTTCAATCGCAGGTCGGCCAGTGATTATTTTTTGTCATGGGCCTGCAACATGCACGCGACAACCAGGGAATGAGGCGGCGAAGGCGCTGTGCGCCGCGACGCGACCGCCAGAAGGCCGGACCACCGAGCTACCCATGCGGACCGCGCAGCGGACTGCATAGCTGCGGGGGCAGATGCACGGCAGCGGGCAAGCAAACGTAGCCACATGGCCGCTTCGGTACTGAACCGGCCTCCGACTTCGACACCAGCGGCAGCGACGGGCGCGCACAAGCTTGGGGTGCGTTTGGCGTCGCTTGCGGCGGGTTGCCCCGACGAGCGCTGGGCCTGGTTGGGCGTCAGCCCCAGGCTGCGCCTCGCCTGCTCGCGTGACTGGGCTACCGATGGTGGCATCGATGGCCTGTTGGGAACCGTGCCAGAGCGGCAGCCCATTGGCGACAACTTCGATGCGGCGGTTGTCTGAGACCGGCACATCGATGTTCATGTCCGCCAGACGCATGTTGCGTGCCACCCGAGCACCGGCTTCCTGGTAGATGTGCGCGACTGCCCGCTCGAGGGGCGGAGCACGGGAGGCAAGCACGCCCGCGTCTGCGCACACAGCCCGGTGATCTCGCTCTCGGTGCCCCGCTTGGAAGCCAGGCCCTTGTCCAGCACCGAATGACACTGCAAGCATGGCTCGCAGGACGAACTGCTCCGACGGCTCCCGTACTTGTCGGACCTGCAGGCAGCGTGGCTGCTGCTGCTGTTTTGTGCCTCTCCGCGGGCCAAACACCCGCTTCGCATGCTCCCCCCTGGCGCGACTGCGGACTTTGCTCAGGGACACGACGACGCAGTGCAAGGTTGCCTGTCCACGCTCTTGGACCAAGCCAGGCCCCCACCCAACCAATGTACAATGACCCTACCCGTACGCAGGTGGGGATAATTACATGTTCTGGGTGCGGTTGCCAAAATGTACCGAGGGGTACCTATATTGTACATTTTTCTTGGTGGGCGAGGGCCAGACGACGACAAAGCCTGAGCCTTTGGGCGGGAGCAGGAGGCGAGGGCTGACGCGACGAAGCAATATGTTCGATGCCCAGCCCCCAGCCCCAACTCATTCCCCAGAAGCAAAGCCTTTGCTTGCAGCATTGACTGCTTGCTCATGGCTGTTTTGAAGCTTCTCATGCTGACTGGCCATTGCCCCCCCCCTGCCTGGTGTTGTACATTTCCAGCTGGGGTGGTTGTACATTTCCAAGGCCCCGAAATGTACAATGAGGGTAGGGCCTCCAAAACCTGTTTAGGCCACGGGCTACCAAGCCCCTGACCTGCCCATGCCCGAGTAAGCACGGCAAACGCTCCACCTGCTCCTCCATTTTGGTGGGTTGGGACGGCGTTCTGGGCATCATGGGCCGACTGCCTACCTGCCACCCGCACTCGTGCCCCAGAGGTTGCCGTGCGGCTGCTGCAAAATTTGCAGGCGGCGGGGCCTGAGGCTGCCGCGCCTCTTGCGGCAGCCCAAAAGGCTGCGGCCTACCTTCGCGGGCAAGGTTATGTTGTACCAGACTGGGGCTCCACGCAGGTGGAAACCCAAGCACGTGTTGAGCCGGAATTTGGGGAGCCATTTGGGGAGCTGTCACGCAGCTAGCAGCGAGTTGCTGCTGCTGCTGCCGGCAATGAGCACGCGCTCGAGTTGCATCTTTCTAACCTGGATGCTGCATCTCGTGCGTTACTGCTGTCGCAAGCTGAGCCATATGCTGCACATGCTCTCACAGTCTTCCCAACCTCCCCGGGGCTGGCGGTCTCTTCGCCGCAGTTCCGGATTATCCTGTTACGACGCCTGCGACTGTCGCTTCCTGCGATTGTCGCTTCCTGCAGCGCCACAGGCATGCACTTGTCAGGGTCGCAGACACCTTGCTGGGAAGAGGGCAAGGACCAGGCGCCAGTCCAGATTACGTCCCCGCTGGAAGCGAGCGATGTCAGGAGGTTCCTTGCCAGTGACGTTTGAGATGCGCGTTTTTCCAGCATTGAGCTGTATGCGCGCGTGGCTCCACACCGGTGGGGGGCCCACAGCTGACCCACCAATAGTTGAGTGCGGATGGACCTGGGGCAGCCTCTCCCGAATGCCTTGGCTGCCCAACGAGCGGGGGCGGGGTCCGGGTGCTTCGGCAGCCTGTTGGTCCGTGTGCGTCGGCCTCAGCTACCCAGTGGCGCAGGCAGGCATGAGCGGAGCGCAGGCTGGCTCTTGGTTCGCCGGTTCACCGCGTGGGTGCTGGGCGCTACATCCGTTTGCGCATCAGAGTTCGCCGCCTCCCGTGAACGGTCAAACGACCACGCCTGGATTGCACCACAGTGCTGACAAGGGTGGCCTACGTGTGGACGTCGACTTCGTCGAGACCGATGTCCTCACCACAGCGGGGCACAACCAGCCAGGCTTTCGTGCAGCACCAGTTCCGCATCATGCGCATTGCCCAGGACCAACTGCTCGAGCCTATTCCACACGCCGAGGATCTCGCGCTACTGCGCTGCGCTGAGCGGCCAGGTTTGGCCCCCGACCAAACCGCCCAGCGCAAACGTCGCCACGCCCGCAGCGCCTGAGTACAACGCTGGAGTGGCATCCTTCCCGTTGCAGCACAACGAGCCTTTGCAACATCGTTGCTGGAGCTGCCGTTGCACGGGGAGTGCCATGGAGACGGCCCTACGCCCGAGTGGCATGAGAGCCTTGCGGATTCAGGCTGGACCACGGCTCAAGCCACAAGCGCAGCCTGAGCAGATGCATCTGGCCGGCATGGCCTGCACGGCGGGACTGGGACCTGGGACAAAAGGCGCGAGGGGTAACAAAAACGGTTGTTGCATTTTGTTTTTTTGTTTCTTCTCCTTCTGGTGCAATGTCCACTTATGAATACATCGTGCCCGCTTGGGGTCAACCATGTTTCTTCTACGAATTATTTCCATGCTTGCGCGCTAAATGGCCGAGCAACAGTTGCAACTGACGGAACACTTTCAACGGCTGCAGCCTCACTTCGCCTGGTGCAAGCTTCACCTTTTACTCGTGCTTGCTGAGGTCTCTCACTCTTCGCGGTTTTTGACGGCATTTTTTTTTCAATTCGCTGACGGGCTCGACTTGCCATGAGCTCGGGCACCCAAGGGCTGTGGCGCCGCACATTGGCAGCCACCCTTTTGAGCTTGCCTGACTACCGCGCCCCCTGATCCAAGGCTATCCTGTGACCGCCGGCGGTGGCTGCCGCAGGCACCCTTAGGCAGCCACAGTCCGCCCAGCCACAGCACAATTTCACGGCCGCAGCCTCACTTCGCCCGCTGCAAGCTTCACCTTTCACTCGTGCTACTGAGGTCCCTCACCCTCGCGGTTTTACAGCACGCCGACGGGCTCGACCTGCCGTGAGCTCACACACCCGACAACGTAGATGTCGTCCAACACGGCAAAAACGGTTTCGTCCTCGCGGAGCTGTGCTTGGCGGGGTGCGCCCCCCTCAACCCCGCCGCTTTTAATGACATTCACGCTTCAGGTTCTCACGTTCTCACCGATATCATAGTTTCCCATCATTGCTCAACATCTGGTTTCATGCCGTTTTTTGTTTTTTTCGATTCATACTCCTCTGTCATCATTTTCATGCTTTTCAAATTTCGATTATTTTTCAGAATGTTTCATGAGATTTCTTCATCATTGTCTATTATTCTTTTTTTTTTCCTCGGACTTTTCCGTCTGCTCGAGGTGTTCCACTCAGTGGTCAGTGGGAGCGCTGGTGGCTCGGCTAGCCGGGCTCACCGGTGGGGGCATTCCATGTCAGGCTGGAAAGCCAACCAGATCACCGCAGCGAAGGCCGCCCCGCAGCAAGCGAGCTGAAGGTGGCAAAGAGCGCATTCCCAGAAGGGCAGCCGCTCCCGAGGCTCCTCGTCAAAGAGCCGCGCGTGGCTGCGCCTGCGAGCTGTCGGACTGTCCCACATCTT